ACGCTAACTGCATTATTAAAAACACTGCAAGACTGCTCAGAACATCCTCTATTTTCTCAGTGTTTGTGGAAACAGATTCTGATTCTACAGATTCATTTCAATTCATTTTACTTCGCTCATCCTGTTTCTCTTACCCGTCACGCATCCCAACATACTCAGATTCAGGTCCCCCAGGCAGCATCAAACTGTTAAATTCTAGCTTACCGAACTAAAACAGCATCACTAGACCTCCTTTCCCACAGACACAGGGGGTGGTGTGTTGTTTTTTTTTTGGTTGTTTGTTTAATTTCCAGCAAAGTGATCTCAGAAAGGCAAATATTAACTCTGCGTTTGTAGCAAGCACATTCGTGAGAACCAAGATTAAAAGCATGAGTTTTTCACTCTAAAATGAAAAAAACTCTTGGCATCATAAGAATTCAGTTGGACTTTATGCAGCCAGACTCTTGCAGACAACACAAGACGTAAATATTATTTCAGAGACCTGAACTTTAAAATCAATCCAAGAGCACAAATATCGATGAAGCTTCAGGATTTTACATAATGATACCCGCACAGCAACATCCTCAGGGCTAATCCCCAATGTACAAGAGATATTCTGCGTCGAGGAGATGTCAGATGGAAAACACTCATGGCTATAATTAAGACCAGTATTTTTTTCTACAATACCATCAAAATGAAAGTGAATTTACTGCCTTATGCCATGTCACAGATTTCTAGATTTCAAATCCGCCTACCCAGCTTAATCTACTGAGAAACTCTATGCAGGTCAGTAAAGCTGAATTAGAAATGAAAGGTCTTTTGTATGTACTTTTGTTTTGTAGTCTTTTGAGTACTTTTGTACTCACTATGTTCACAATGTAATATCGTTCTTACCATACTAGTTGTGAAATTTTACTTTTATTGGCTGCCAAACATTCACAGCAAAAGTTGTTATCAGTTGGAACTTCATGAATAAAAAGCTGAACATCTCACAGATGTCTGCACCGCTTCCTGGTCTGCACGCAGAGCCTGGTGATCACCCTGCACCGGTAAGAAATCCTCCCGTAAGAGCAAACCCCGGCTGGGATCTATGGTTAAGGTTCAAACCAAGCTACTCATATGTGATTATGCAAGGACCATCATTCTTAGATCACAGGGACAGTCTGCAAGACACTGCAACGTAATTCTTATCTCCTATTTCAAGTCCACTTAATAATGCAGCATCAAGTCACTGGAGAAGCACTGGATTCTTCTATCACTGCTGTGGCCTCTCTCAAGAAGGTCAAGAACGGAAGGTTTGTCCCAGGTCCAGTCAAAACATGGATTTAACATCACATCTCACATAGCTTCAGTGTGCCACCTTCACCATCTGCCACACGATGCTCAAAGTCTGAGCTTTGTTCAATGTATGCCATCTCTGTCCCGTTTGTCCCACTCAAACTCAATGTACAGCCACAGCTCAGCCCCTCACACCGCATTCTTTCTCCATTTTGGTCTCTCTGCCCCATCACCAGTGTTAGCAGGTTCTATCCTTCACCATCATTCCTCCGCATCTCCCCATGGGATGCAAAGCAATCCTTACTCCTCCAGGGCCTAGGACACGTGGCCTTGCAGCTAACCTACACCCACCCACCCTCCTTCGCTCCAGCCGCTTCCCCCAAGCCTTCTTTTACTCCAACACTTGGAAGTAATCAACTGTATATTAAAATGATTCCAAAGAAATCAGCAGCACGTATAAAAGCAGCATCTAGAGTGCATTTGTGTGTGTTTAGACCCACTCAGCACCTAAGCACTTTGTAGCAGGAGTCACCTTCCTTCTGCTCCAGTACTTGAGGGCACCACTGATACATGCAAGCACTGGCATCACTTGCAATCTTCACAACAAAATTTAGCAATCCGACAGGAAAAAACAGACAGGAAATAAGTTCCAAACACATTCCCACATCACAACAGGGGATAGTAGATAGCTGTCCTTCAAACTATGTTGTGCTTTAGATAATTACGTCAGCAGGCAGACATCCCTGAGATAGCTGCCTTATTCACAAAACAGAAGTCCTCGCAGGCTTACACAAGTTGTCATCTGAAATCGGAACATACAAGACCTCTTAACTTATGACCTTTTCTGCCTAGGAAAAACATCCTAAATTTATTAAGTGGGAAAGAAATAGAGAGACAAAAAAAGACAAACAGCATTTCATGTGGGAACATCCTTATGTGCTTCAACTTGCAGAGCGTGAGCCCGGTCCCAGGCAGCGGGACATCAAGCTGCCATCTAGTGGCTTCGCAGCCTGTGGGAGAAAGCAGGCGAGCCTCAGAAACACCGGGTAGGGCTTCGCTGGCCACGGGCACTCAGTCTGCCCACGAGGTAAGCAGCTAACAACAAAACTAATAAACATGAACGTAATGGTAAAAGCTCCAATGTGAAAATACACAGCAAGTACAGCATCAGATATTCAGAAACATGAGGCAACCTCATTTGGCTGCCAAAAGTTAAGCCTGAGGCGAGCAACAACAGTCTTGAAAACTCCAGAGGACTTTAGGAGCAATAGATTATCTAAATGTTTAGTTTCATACCAGCCCCAAACCCAGTAAGGTACAACTGAAACTTTCAAGGTTAGGTTTTCTTCTCTCAGAAATACATTAAAAACCTTTTTGTCTGCTTTCCCTACAATATCCCATGACAACTGTGCAAACATAGGTACACCACTTTGTATGACAATGCTTTTCTTACTACTCATCGTTCTCCATCTCAGAGTAAAAGTATTATGCCATTAGAAGATAGGCAGCCCTGCAAATTAGCTAGACAGACCTTGATAAAGATGTTTGGTACCAGAGGCAGGGAACACATCTTTAAGAGAGCTGTTCAGGAGCCAAAACAGAGGTATTTTCAAGGCAACCCGACCTCAGGTCATGAAGTACCACATAACAAACATAATAATAGCAGACAACTCGCAACAAGAACAGAACAGAATAATTACCTTGCTTTCAGAACACTCACTACCAACACTGCCTCTTGAAACACAAAAAAATGGTTTGTAAATACAATTGTAGCTGGAAGTTAGAAAAACCTTCTGAAATGTAGGAAGAAGGGGGAAAAAAAAAAAAGATATAAAAACAAATGTAGAAGGGCAACAGCACGGAACTACATCAGCTGACCCCCAAAACAGATGCAAACAAAAAGCTAGCACTTAAAACATGAAACCCTATCCATTAAAAAAAAAAAAAAAAAAGACTTGTGTGTTAAAAATCCTGACTGCATCCAAGCATCAGTGTTATGAACTTTCAGCAACTTCATCTGTCTGATATAACAGCTCTCCATTATCTAGTTCCTCACCACCCTTAAATTTTACCTTTGCAGATGCTTGCTGCATTTGTCTTAGGCCCCTGAAAGGCTACAATCCATCTAATCACCTGCCTCTCAAAAGGCATAAAGTACTTCAAAATGCACAGAGTGGTAATCTTCATCCTGCTGTTCTGAATACCAGCTGTCCAACGCAACAGACCTCTGCAGGAGGACAGAAGCTGGAATTCAACAGTTAGAAGGAGTGCCAGAACACGGTCTATTGAACACCAATTTTCATTTCAAGAGCACAGGACAAATCTTACCAGGGCATGAACTGACTAAGGGATAAAAAAATTCAATACAGAAACCATGCAAGTTATCATTTCTTCCACATGAAAGTGGAACAAAAGCTTGAAAGAACCAGGATTTAACCTGAGCTATACAAAAATATTTAGCAATTACTATGTCAATACAATTCATATATTTCAAATTGAAGCCAAATTTTTAACATGAGTTATGATGAAATGTATATTACATAACACGTCAGAGAAGCTAACATTATAACACATATGTGTACGTAGCAATTTCACAGCTATATGAGATGTGTAATGCTGCAAGTACCACATAACTCTAAAGATTTCTAGTGCTTTGAGCTGGACTGCGTAAGACTAAACTTGAAAATGTAGGAACTCTGCAGTCAAAAAAGGCTTGTCCCAGATGATTCAAAACACAAACATTGTTGCTGGCATGTGACAGCTGTATTTTTTCCTGTCATGATCACAGTAACGTGCTTGAAATACAAAGCCGCTGACTGGCAAGTCTTTCATTCCTACCTACCAGTTCTGAGCTTCACATGCAGAGTTGGTTGGCAGGTATATCTGTCTGGAAATATTTCCAAAGAGATCTCATCTCCCCACCAACATACTCTGTTTGTTGCAAAAGTCATTATAAGACTGAATGACTATTACTATGCAGTGTTTCTGTGCAATATAGGGCCTTGCATTATGATTATCAATCACTAAGAACATGAAGTTATAAAGAAAAAAAAGGTAAATTTGAAAAACAACTTTGCAAAAAATGTTTTTACAACATTAGCATAAGCAGCTATGACAGATTCACTACTATTTTCCACTTTGAAATTTTACTTCATAAGTGTATTGCTAGAGCCGGTTATTCTTTTCCCCAAACACCCTCCAAGAAAGCTCAGGAGTCTGACATTACACCACATGGGCCCAATGATGCTGTCATCTGCATCATGGGAAAAAAAAAAAAAAAAAAAGAAGAGCAAAATGTTGAAGACTTTTGATAATGATTTTTATGATCTCTGAAAATGGTTTTAGTAGCACAGGTAACAATATAAAAAAAAATACATGATTTTAAAATATTTTAATATATTTAATAAGCCATTAATATAAAACTTTCTACAATAGATGTAAACATGTAAAAAAAAAAAAAAAAGAAAGAAAGAAAAAATACTTAATTCATGACCCAAAAGATGATCCAAAAAAACATGTATTCTCCTAAATGAGTTTTACAGTATACTGCACTGAAGAAGTTGTAACAGCAAACAACTACTTAGTCCTAATAAACCAAATGTTGAATAATAATTAAAAAAATAAAAAAGAAAACACAAAGCTTTTGTATCAAGTCTATACTTACACACACATACAAACAATTCTCAAAAGTAAAAATAAAGTTCTCTGTCTACAGATTACACAGTGAGAAGAGTGGTCATTACCTCTTGGTTATCTTTATTCTGGTTTGCCCAGAAAATCTTATGATAAAGAGTCTCCATCGAATTGCTGGAATCTGATCTGTCAAAACAATGTCGATCCAACACTTCTAAGGTGTGCAAAACTCGGCTGATGGTCACCCCTAGATATAGGAGTTAGAGGAGGAAAAAAAAAAAGTTTAAAAAGGAAGATGCTGTAGGATTTAAGGCATTATCAGTCACAACCATTATAAGCAGCAGGACAGCACAGGATCCTGTATGACTCAGCAGAAGCAGGGACCATCCACTTGCCACCACCATGGAATCCATTTCTCAGTGACTGCAGTGGAGGGCCACATCACTACTGGCAGGTTTACCTGTAACCACTTACGTTGCTGCCGTCCTCTAGTAGAGGAAGAAGCTGACACACTGGACTCCTAATGGTTTAAATCACAACAAGCAATTCAGTTGCAAAAGGCAAGTCTGAGCCACAGTACCACACTGAAGTTCAGAGGCCCTCAAATCATCTGTGAGAATGACCACCGATAAGTTTAGGCTGAGACTTCCCTAACACACACATGGATGGTAGCATCTGTTGATCAACAGATGAGCAAGTTGAACAAACAAATCCCCTACACTAAGAATAGCACCACTACACAAAAGTTCTCTAAGCACAGAATGACCAGAAACAGAGAGCAGCCTAAAAGCCCATACAAATCTTTATTTGATGCTTATCTCACTGTTAGGTAGCTGCTCGTATTCTCGATAGCCTGATTTCTACAGATATTTTTTTTGTCATGGAAAAGAAAGCTCAAGTACAAGCTTCAAAGAGTAAATGTATATTTTCTAATTTTGCATGTTTTACATACATATTTCAAGCTAGAATCTCTGTCCTACATAACCCTACCTAACCTGCAAACAAGCTCTTTCAGACACGTTTCTTACCTAGGTAATCCAGGAGCTGCAAGTACCCAAGCCCAAACCTGATTTTTTAGCTTTTACCCAACACTTCCATATTAATGTTATATTACAAGTACAAAACCTGAGGACTCTGTGGAGAAACGCTGGCTGGCTGTTACATTACATCCATCTGTCAACTCTATTACTAGAATTAAGCATAGTGCACCAGGTTTACACTAACGAAGGAGAACAGATGCAAACGCTAAGACTCCCAACATTTACTTCATTTTGACTTGTCTTACCTGCAGTTGATTCTTGGCACTTGTCAAAAGACCACCGCACCTCCACAGCACGACCTCTTTGTTTTATCTGCTGTTCTACTTCATAAATCTTTGCCCGAACCTGATTAAAAAAAAAAGGTAGTTGCTAATTAGCTGGTCATAGGAAGCCTCAATTTTCACTTCGAGTTTGAAGTGAAAAGTTTGAAGAAGAAACCTGTTGGTGACAGGTTTCTCACCAGGAGCAAGGTACCCTATCGCGTTCCCCAGCACTTCCTACATTTGGGAACAACAAACTAAAGTATGTTCTGCTAAAACGCTCTCATTACTTTAAAATTATTTTGTACAATAAAATATCTTTTCATGTAAGCTCCTTAGATTCAACCCAATGGAAGTTAACTTTCAACGTGTCTGAAAAGTCACATCTCAGAAATGGTATGACAAGCTTCCTCGTATTTGCCATTTTACATCTTAAAGTAACTGAAAACATCTGAATGTAAATAAAATTCCAGATATTTTCACAAAATCGGTACCTGACTGAAGAAACTTGGGTCATCAAACACTAGCACATCAGCAGAACTACTGAAATATCTAAACTTAGGTATAGTCCTCATGAATGCAAATCACTTTTTGGGATATAAAATACATCTTAGTAAACAGAAAATGAAAAAAGCTTACCTGTTGATTAAATGATGAATTTCCACCTGGCATAGGTAAACTAGATGGAGCAACTTGAAGTAAATCCAGAGGTGAGCCTGGATTAATGTTCTTATTTTCATTTGTGGAATAATTCCACACCAAGGCACTTGGGCAACAAAGAGTTACAGTCTGCAAGCAATAGTATAAAATAGAAATAGTACATGAAAGACAAGACCAACAATACCAGTAATAAGAGAGTCCATCAGACTCTCATCGTTTTTGGCCTGTTACAGCGAAAGAAACAAAAGACAAGCCTATGCACAATCACTTTAAAACATCCATTTGAAGAAATTAAATTACTATGTTATTTTCCTTCTCCATTATTAAGAATTGTATTTAAATACATGCATGTTCAATTCCCATTTGTATTGCTTTTATAATGCCACCAAATATCACCAAAGGTTATTTTCAGTCAGATCCCCTCCATGAAACACGAATGGGCTTCAGAAAAAGTCATTTTGGTGTTTAGCTTTCGGAAAGAAGCTGCGTATGCAAAACTAACATTTAAGAAAATAATTAAAATGAATTTGTCTCTCAAAATCCTAAAACCCACAAGTAACTGAAATGCACCAGTCACACAAATGCACCAAAACGTACCATCACACAAGTCCTTTTTTAGAAAAAAAAACTACTCCAAACAATCCTACCATCAAAGACTAATAAGCACAAATGAAGTTTCTTCTGTCCCACTTTCCTAAAAACTGCAAAAGTTAGTAATGCAACCAACGGCTTGTAACCCTGACAAAACCTGACCAGTCTGCACAGGCACCAAGCAGCCACTACAAGCTGGAGGAAGCAGGGAAATCCTCAAAGGTCTTCTGTGCAGCTGCACTCAGCAAAGACAAACTGGGTCTGGCATAAATGAGCAGGTTCACTGGTGATGAGAAGCTGCACAGAGCCTCACTGCAACCAGAAACTCCATCGCAGAGCGGAGGCTTGGCCGCTCCTGCCGGCAGAGCTGCTCCCTCCCGTGGCAGAGGTGCGGACAGACACACAGACAGCACGCGTGGCTGTAAACTGAATGGTTACAGCCTCACAAACAAGGAGCAACTAAGCCCTTGCCTACCTGCAGCATACAACTGAGCCCATACACCAGCGGACGATGTTGAGGGCAGGAGAGGAAATCGGAGCAGGCCAGCTGTACCGGGCTCACCGCAGGACCAGGCGCGGTCGGACTTGGGGCTGCCAAAGGAGGGTTGCTTGGCCCAATTATCATGTGAGGGGAATGTGCAGCCACAAGGGTAGGACCATCGCTTAACAGTAACGACAGGCGTCTGGCACAAAAGTAAGCAAGGCGACGGGATAGGTAAGCTGATTGAACAAACTCCTCTGAATACTGAAATTAAAAAAAAAAAAAAAAAAAACTTAGGTTACTATTCCACATACTCATTTTTCATTAACAATCTAACACATAACATGCATAAACTAAAAGGGACTACAAAGGAGTATCCTAAATACAAATCTGTAGTTCAGTCTCTAAAAATTTCATCTGTCCTGCAGGACCAGCTACAGAAAAAGAAACTTCCTATCAATTCAAGTTAAGAAGGATTAGAAAGTTTAAAGGTGTTTATATATTCCAAGCATGCACCATGCAATGTATTTCCCCAAATGTCTTATGTAAAAATCCCTACATAGATTTTAACACCGCAAATATTACAATCATTTAACATGTCTGAGTCATGCTCATATTGATTCAATAAATCACACGGCTTTGAACCATGCATATACCTGCAACATTAGCGGCAACAACAGCTTAAGAAGATCATCATCAGTAGGTCTGATTTTTTCCAAAACATCCAGTATCCATGTCAAATACTCATGTCTCTCGAGCATTCCTTCCTTAAAGGATTTTAAATAAACGCATCACTCGTTAACTGGGAGCACTAAACAAGAAGGTGTGCAATTACAAGTTTAATTTCATTTCATTTCTCTCATTACCCATGGCAGCTACCAGGATGCTCATGCAAGGACCTTACATGCAAGGACCAACCACCATCACAGCATCCGCATGGACAAGGGGCCATGACCAGGATTCAGAGTTATTTCTGTTCCAGGAACAAAGCAGCATTCTTCCTTGGAGGCTTCTACCACCATCACTGCTCGAGCTCAGATGACCTTGGGTCAGTGTCTAGCAGGACTTCTGCTTACACTAAGCCACAACGCGTCTTCAGCTGAAGGCTGTGTGACTGGGGACCAGGTGTCCCAGCTCCCTGGCCCGTGCAGACTGCAAAGGTGGGCATGGGCTAGAACACCATGGAACTGAACAGCCAGGTCACTACTCAAACACCCAAGGCTTTGTGCTCTACAGCGACCGCAGCCTGACTCACAATCATTAAACACACCCTTAAAAGATGGGATAATATAAGAAGAGAGAGAATAATTGAGTACATTGCTGCAATCACAATCAAGGACGATAAGCAAATCAAAGTTTCTTCAGCTAGCAGATCTTTGAAATGAATTAGCATTTAAAATTTATGCAAGTCTTATGACACCAACTACCAGTAATATCTAAAATTCAACTTCCCGAGAATAGTGACCTCAAAAAAAAAAAACATTCACTTCTTAAAGTATTACCTGAAACATGTAAAATGACAATTTTTCATTATATTCCCACTGCTTCAAGGCTTGTTCCATCTCTTGAGGCATCACCACAGAGCCGTTGCCTTGGCTGGTTGTCACATGGTAGAACTCTGCAACCTTTGCCAGCTGCTCCCGAAGGTATCTGGTTATAATTTGAGTCCATTCTGCAGCATAAGTTCACAATTAGAACACTTCAGATGATAAAAGGTTTCTTTCACAGTGAGAATTGAAACAAATTCATGTTGAAAAATATTTCTCCAAAGCATTAACACATGGTTGCATAATGCAGCACCCAGTGTGAATTAATGTTTTTTTTATGTGCCTCTCCTTTGCGCTGTTCCCAAAGCACATATATATACTGTCAGGCGTGCAAGCAGCCTGCTAGCTTAGCATGACGTAAAAAGCACAGATACGAGCTAAGCCTTCAGGGAATCACCTGTCTCTTTCATCAGAGCTCAGCATTCAACCACTAAACAGCTTTGAAACAGATCAAATAAATACCCTTCATTACTGCCTTCCATATGGAGGTTTATTCCCCTCCTCTCTCCCCCTCCACATACAGCCACCAGAACACTTAACAGGACTTTGCCCAAGCAATGGGATATACGATTCTTGCTCCAACCACTGAAACAGACACCTCCGCCGGATTTGTCCTCTGATGAGGATGCAGAAGTTCAGAGACAGCTCCTCAGGTCAGACTGACCTGCACGGTGCGGAGGTTTGCAATGAAGACTGATTGGCTTTTCTGTGTGATACCTAAGACAGTAGGTACCGTTCACCAGCACACAAACCTACCCAGAACCATCAGCTTTTCTCTATGCTCCAGCAGTGATTGTATAACTTAGTGTAACTGCGAGAAATTAGTAAATGAAAGTAGATTGCTTGACCATACACAGAAAGCTTTGGGAAAATAGGAATTGTAAAGGAGGCATACTCTGAACAGCGTAACTGGGACAACCAAGGGTGTTTGTTACTATCTCACAAACATCTGACAGTTGCATGTAACCAGCATGCAGCGTATTTTGGAAGAGCACACTCTTTCATGAATGCGTAATGCAATTGCTTTGACAACCTAAGCCTGTTCACTGCCAGAGTTACAGGAACTAGGGCTCAAACACAACTATTTTTACTGGTTACTACCCACCTCAGATTTCAGCTAGTGCTTTCCTTCTGTGTTTTTTTCCCCTTTGAATTTATAACTGGCAGTTCTGTTAACTGAATATTCTGCCATAGGATATACATTGAATGCCTTTCTAACCAAATCTGAAATTTCTGCATGAAGCTAGTGGGTTTTAGTGTTTTCATACAGCTATTTAACTAGATTTACCTCAAACACTCACTCACTTTTGGAAAAACAATTCCAAATCCACTATGTCACACTTGTTTTCATGGCATGGTATGAAAGAATAATTTTCCCAAAGCAATTACCAAAATCTCTGCGCTACTGAGTTAGAAACAACACAACCACCTTTCTGTTACCTAGGGGACAGATCTAGAACATTTGGGGGAATGTCAAAGACTACACAGTAACACACATCAAATTACTTCCAAAATTCAAAAAAAAATAACAGAATTTGGACAGACAACATAATATTCAGCATCACTTTCGGCACAGTTACAGTGGAAATCTGCCTCAGAATACCCGCTGATAAAACCACAGGCCCCTCCACCCAGCAGTACTCTCACTGGCTCTCCGTTCTCGTTGTGAAGCAGATGCCACTGTCAGGCCAGCCAAAAGCAGAGCCTGAGCAGTTCGTGTGTGCCCCTCCACCACACACCACTGCCCTTCCCCTTCCCAGGAAGCGAAGAGCTACAGCTCAGAGCAGAGCAAACCAGATGACCTAGAACCTACCGCCGTGGAGTGAGCAACCCTAGCTTTCCTTACCTTCTTGCTTTGCTTCCTCCCCCACTCCAAGACAACCAGAAAACAGAGTGTTTGTTTTAACTACACCATTAATGAGCATGCAACCAAAGCAAAGCAACGTCACCGGCCTTCCTACCCAGCAGCACCATTTCTGCCCCTCAGAACAGCCAGAGGAGCTCTCTCACCCTTAGCAGCGCTGCTCACAACGGATTAGGAAAGCAATCAACCTGCTCTCCCTGCCTGTTAAGTTTTCTGCTAGGGTCTACTCCCAGAAATGCATATGAGAATCAACAGAAAAGGAAGACAACCTAGGAGGTTAAAGAGAACTTAAGGAAAAAAAAAAAAAAAGAAAAAAAAAAGGCAAGAGGACAGCATTTAGGGCATGCCTAATGCCATTTGCTGACCTGCAGGCTGATACACCCAAGCCAGCCAGGGCTATCCCTAAAGCACAGCAGCTCACAGGCCATGCCAGACACATGGTACAGGCCTGCACAAAGATCCTCCAGACCAAGTCCTTGAGAGGAACAGAACAGGCAGGAATCAGCCTCACTGGCCACTGCACCACACAGCACTGCCCAGCTGCAGGCACGCACCAGACCAAATTCACGAGGCTCTCTGACTCCCTCCTGTCCCCAGGCAGGGCAAGGTCAGAAGCAAACACCACACAAGGGAAGCCAAAACATGCTCATAGGCAAGCCTGTCAGTACTGCAGCCACCCAGAACTGAGCAAGGAATAAATAGGGGGGTAAACAAGGGATAAATATATCATATTCAGCAAGTACTTCAGAAGACCATGCCACAAGGACCCCACATCTGTAACTATAATGAAAAAATAGGCGTAAGATGCTCGCCAGGAAACACTTTTTGGGCTTTAATTAGAAATTCAAAGTGAAAATGAATGCTTCAAGCCTAAAAATAAAAACAAACAAACAAGAAGTGAAAGAAACAAAATGAGTTAGTAGAACGATGTAAAAATTTCTCACAGCCGTATGGAGATGCTGCTAAACAGCATCTGATCACAGATGCTTTAAGGAAAAGGAAAAAGTTCATAACAGGTAGTGGAAGAGCTGTAGCTATTGCATACAAACTGAGAGTAGAACTAATACTTACCAGACCTTTGATCTCTAAAGGGTGCTCACTGTTTGGTCTACTGGCTTGGTGCCAGACAGTGTCATTTAACATCAATACTTAAAATAAATACATTACCACCTATGTTTTAACACATACACTTGCAAATTCATTTTGTTCCAGGCTTTCTAAATCAGCAGCTCAGTTTGCTCCTTGGTAACATTTATCTTAGCACAGCCTTTGCCACTCCTGGCAACCCCACAGAGACTGGCATCAGTGGTTAAGACACAGCACAGTCAGCTCCTCAGATGCCGTGCATGGAGATTTAAGGAGAAAACAGCTGGGAGGAGAACGAGCCAACAGGGCTGTATTTATGCCACATGGCTGTTTGTACTCTTTGACACACAATTCTAAGCAAAACCAATTAAAAAGACTTTTTATTCCCCTTCCCACTACACAGATTCATCTCCAGACATTCAGTAACACAAAAGCCACAAACGGGAATAGCAGGTCCTTTCAGCCCTTACTATTCATTCGGACATTAAAGTTGTTTATTTACCTATATTTGGATCGGTGGCCTGGCGTTTCTTGATTTTAGCTTCAGAAATAGCAGCATAGTAGGCACATGTCATTTTGATCAGCCATGCCGCTCGTAGCAGTGGCACAGAATATTTTGCTAAGTAAGCAAAAACATCTTCTTTTTTACTGAGAATTGGAACCTGAAATAAAACAGGAAGCAAGTTATAGCACACAGTCCAAACAGCAGCTAGCACCTGCGGGTTAGCCCAGGACCCCTCTCCTCAAACCCTAACTAGCTGGACAGTGGCAGATCTCTTCAGCAACCTGGGAAACCACTAAGCTGACAAAGCCTCCTGTTCAGGCACATACAAAGAGGCACAACAAAAGAAAGGTACCGCCCCACACCTTCCCCAGGTTACACCAGGAGCATCCTTCCCCCCCAGTGGAGACAGAAGGGAGTGGAGGCACAAATAGTACGCTTGCTGTTCCCCTACAAAAAATGCTTATTACTCCTTCAGGAGTATTCAACCTTTCCAAGAGAGCGCCTGGAGAACAGACACACATCAATGCAGAAAAGCACCGCTAACCAAACACAGGTGATTTTCGGTAACACTCTTTTGTAGTCATTCTAAGGTCTACCCAATTAGTTTCAAAGGGCTCTTAACATGCTTATGTATGTCCATAAGCCCCTTTTTGTTATTCTGTTTTTAAATCATAAATAACAAAAGAAGTCTCTCTGGTGCTTTTATTCAGAAAGTTAACCTCTAGTAAAGTTATAGGGAAACTTAGAGTTGGTGGTATGCTTGCCTCCCCTCCTCTTTGTTGAGAAATTGCAGAATGCAAAAGCAGGAAATAGAATTCAAGATCTTACTGCTATTTCTTTTGCAGTCAGCGGCAAAATCTCATTATTTCATAGGAGCTCATAAATTACCCATTACCCTAATCTCAGTAAAAAAGGTACACCCTCAATAGCCACATTTATTTTATATAGAGTTGCTAATTTGTATCCATGTGCCATTCTTCCCACTTCTGATTTTCAAGAAGCTACTTCTAGTGTTAAATAAAACACAAAATAATAAAACATTTGTTAAAAACAGATATAGCTTAAGCTCTAACCTTTTAACTTATTTTATGAATACTGCCTTATCCTTACAGACCAATTCAGTACAACCCCAGTACAATCCAAGAAATAGGGGAAGGAGTATTTTTATACCTTTTTTGCTAAAATAGTCAGTGGTTTACTTCCTGCTAAATCTGTGAACCAGTTGTGAATTGCACTCTGAGACCGAGCAGTAACCAGCCAGTAGTTATCTTTGGCATTTATTTGTGGTTTCTTCTTTCCTGTGTCCTGGAACGTGTTAAGTTTTAGCTTTTCCGCTAATATGCTGCTAAAGTAAGCGCCAATCTGGTGGGGAAAAAAAGGGAGGGAAAAATAATAACACACATGACAACCCAGTTAGCAAGCATCTATTGTACATTAACGCACATAGAATCCTTATCTGAATAGATGCAGTCATCACTCTAGTCCAGGCTATCAGCCTAATAAAGGTTACACTTTAAAGCCCTGCAGCTAGCAGATAGAGATTCCTGATATTAAAGTAACTGTGCAATGCGTTTGCAGTATTGCTATAAAAGCTGCAGGCCAGCAAAACCAAGCCAAAGACGACCAGGCCTCAAAGACAGCAGAAATGCAGCCACCACTTACAATGACTTCACTGTAAACCACCAGAGGCACATCACTCCAGGAGTTGAGCATCTCAGATTTAGGACCTGACACAGCATATTCGAGATGTGTCAGCATTTTATAATGCAATAAGTGTATATACCTGTTGTTCACTTCTAATAAGAACAAACTACACTGCCACAAGAACTGCATCAATTGCCTTTGCATTGTCAGTTACAGCAGGCAAAACTTCAAAGACTTGGATAAGCTAGTAAGTGTTCTGACTTCTATTCAAAATGCCTCCACTTCCACTCACTACCTTCAGAATGGAAAACATTGTAGGATTCCCTTACACAGCACTTTCAATACCAAAACAGCAGAGAAAAAAAAAAAGACCAAAAGAGGTTTTAGTTACTGTGTGAGGTTCTTTACATACCAAAATTACTATAATACAAATTAAATTTTAATTAATTTTTAGACCTGTCAGTAGGAATCAGGTGTTTGATTTTCAAATAAATACATTCGTAGTTGGGTAATTTTAAAACCTATGAAAAGTTTTTAATGAGATACTGAACTTATTTTGGTAATTCTACTCTTACATCTTCCAAACAACTATAAGACTATAAGCAATTCCTTGTGAATTCGTTTTACTTTTCAGTTATGTTCAATAGTCAAAACAAGACTAATTAAAATGTGAGACAGAAAGTACCTGCAGGTGGCAATTCTAGCAAAAAAGAATGTAACAAAAGCCTTTAACATTTCAACAATAACAACCTTGTCATTTACTTGTATCACTTCTCATTTCAGATTTACGCTCTACTAAAATAAAAGAGCATCACTGTAATAAGTAAATTCAAATATTCCAATAAGCCATAAAACATCATATATTTTAAGAGTCACTTTCTTGGAAAACATTTGTTAAGCTTCTTGATAAATTTCTCATTCAAAATTGTTTATTTGTGTTTTCCCAACAGAACAAAAAAGAGAGTATACAAATCTGGATAGCTTACTCTTTTTTTTTTTTTTTCCTAAAGAGTTATAACTTTCAGTTTGGAGGATAATAGCTAATATTTTAGTGATTTTCATTGTTCTTTTGTATTTCTAATATCTTCAACTCTCAAAAAAACATAGGAGAGCCAGGTAAGTTTCACTAAACTGTCCAAGAATATAACAGAAAACAGTCTGATGAAACATACATAAGACCAAGACAAGGGAATGGTTTGTAAACACTAGGGACTTTCAGGGAAAGAGTCACTAACAGCTTTGTAAGTGAAGCAAATAAAAGAACAGGAACAAAAAATAATGTGTCTTCTATAATGATGTGCAATAGCTATGTGTTGTTCTCAGTATGCGTGTCTTCCTCCAAAGACTGGTAACACCAGGCAGCAGGACCACAGCTCAGCGGTCCTGGATTAGTTCTGTAATTAACTCTAACATGAAGACTTCCAACTAGAAAGCAAAGAAGCCGAGAACCAAGTACAACCATTGCCAGCTTGGTAGCAGGCTACACAAATATACTCCAGGTACAAAGCCAGGCCTTACCTTTGAGGCATTAATGACGATATTTCTAGCAGACCCATGCTCATCTCCAGAGAAGGCAGGCTGATTACTGAAGCCTTGCTTTACGTTCACTGCAGTAAGTTCATCCTGCAAAGAGTGTTTTAGGGATGAAAAAATGACATGACAATTCCCGAAGTCACATCATTCTGAGAAGCATGTTTTATAAAGAAGTGTTATCTGTGTGCTAGTCCAGCACACCTGAATAACCCTCGAAATGCTTTGTACGTACAGGATGCCAGTGAAGGGAAATGCAGTGCCTCTCCTATCCTCTGGCTCCCATTAAGTGTTCTCCTAACTACAGACTTCAAGGCCGTAACTTTATAAGGATGGCAACTGTTTTGCGGGAAGAGGGTTGCTGCCCACAGAAAGGGTAGCAGAAAACAAGGCTCATCCTCCTCGGAAGTGAATCATCTCTGGCTTATCCAGAGGCACCGTCGCAGCTGCACTCGTGGCCAGCACCAGGGCCTTGGTGCCAGGGCAGCCAGCAGCATGGGGCCAAGCGCAGCGCCGAACGCGTCCCCGCGGGGCCTCAGGGGAGCCCTCAGCGAGCACGGGTCTGAGCTGCACAGGCCGGAGAGCTTGCTTTGGTTCTTCCTTGGTCTCTCCCTGAAGAGAAGGCAGAAAACTCCCTTGGCAAACCAGCCACCTGCCACCAAGGGCATCAAGCCCAGCCTGTGGACCACCTCTAGCAGACGAGATGTAAAAACCGTCCCCGAGATGACAATGAAATGACCCATGAAAACAACGAGCAACTGAAATGCAACCGAGCTAACAACAAGAATAAAAGAAGAGGAAAAAGAAGAATGTAGTAACTTTATTAGCAGATTTGATTACTGGTTTGGGGCACCTTCTCCCCAAAAATAATGACCCAGAAACTTCCATTCAGTTTATTCTCTTGTGCTTTGCAATGCGTTTTGCTTTTCAGTATTTTCTCAAAGTTTGTGAGTAACACAGAAGACAGCACTGTATTTAGAAGAAATCTAAGCTCTCTAGGGTTTATGAAGTTAGCAAGCCTCATCTAAATTTTAAATGAAATCAACAAGAAGTGCTGGAGCACTCCTCCACCCACACTATCCCCAAGACAGCCTTGAAAACACAGATGAAGGCAGAGATGAAAATGATCAAAGGGATTATAAGCAAATAAATAAAAGGTAAATGGCAAACAGATGGAGATATATGTTACTATTACAGCCATTTCCACAGATGACCCCAGCTCTGTTATCTTTAAATTCTTCCTCCTCTGAAGAAATCTGTCTAGATATAGCTACACTGAAAATAACTGAGAACCGTGTGTGGTACTGCTGTAGCTACCATTACTGTACGAGCAAGCTGGGGATGGACTGACAACACAAACACAGCAGTGTTTTGGTTTTGTCTGGCTCAGATTTCTCCCTGCCTCCAGCCGTAGTTCAGAAATTTTAAACACGGAACACAGGACAGTTGCATAACCAAACACCAGCCACAAATTAAATTAACAGACATGCCACCCGTGAACACAACACGCAGAGATACAAACAAATCAACAATAAAAGTTCAGCTGAATGTTCACAGGAGTTCTCATTACGCCTCACGCCAGCCCCACTAATGGCTCAGGGTTGTTTTCCACGAGCACAGCTGTCCTGGCAGAGGGCAATATTTCCTAGACGAAGCAGCAGGAAGCCCAGCACAGCTAAGCTGTACAGCGCTGAAGGCAGGCGGGCTGAGCACGCTTTCACTCGGCTCGATCCGCAGGCCCCTTCCTAACGAGAAGCAGAGGAGCACGGCACGCTGCTGTCACCGAGCGATCTGCGCCGGACCCGCCGCGCTCCTGCAGGGATGTCGAGCTTTCTTTCCAAATGTCAAGCAGGGCCCCAAGCGAGCCCAATCAAGACTTCAAATGGTTTTGAAGTTTAAAGAGCCAAACGAACACCCAAGCCCAAACTGCATTAATTTCCTTTGGAAAGTATTTTAATTGTTTCCCGTGGAATGCTTAAAACCTACTTATACATTTGCAGCACTTCCTTTGCTGAGCGTTTATGAATCCAACACGCACAACCCTTAGAGAAGCAAAGCCTAACAAGTTCAGACCAACGTTCACGGGAGCGGAGCACTGTCAGCCCCACGGGGAGTCAGACCCCACACCAAACCCGCAGCCGTTACCTCCCCACACCGCAGCGTGAGCCCTGCAAAGCCTGCTCGAGGAGGCGATGGCAGCACCGGGCAGCGCAGTGCAGTCAGGGCACTCACACCTGCACCAGCGGAGCCAACACAACGTTATCATTGGGTGTTCTGGATCGTCTAATTCTGTATTAATCTGCTTTGAACAAATGAGCTCCTGCAACTTCATGAACTCACGAACTCATGAAAGGAACAAGACGGACCTTAACGCAGTCATTCCTTTCAGATCCTCTCGCAAGCTCCAGCTTTTGCTTTGTGCCTTTATTACAAGAGGCCATCCACTTTTGGCAGCCTGAAGCCACACCAGCGCTGGCTTGGAGGCCTAACCCCTGTGTGGGAAGCTCCAGCGATCTGCCCTGTGCTGTGACCGCCGTGCCAAAAACCCTGCGTCAGGCTCACACCACTGAACAGCAGGTGCCTTCTGAACGGTGAGACCAAAAAGTAGCCCCCTAAGAGAGACTGGCGTACACCAAACGCTGTGCCAGTTACGGATCAGCGAGCACCCCGGGACTCGTTAGGATGAGGGGAAGAAGGGCACCGTGCTCAGAGCAGCGCTGTCCCCTCAGCACCCGCAGCTCAGAAGCCACAAGCAGGACGAGCTGTCCCGAGCAGCCAAACGCAGGCACAGGCGAGTTTCTCTGCTGACGAGGGAGATCCAGGCTGGGCATCTATACACGGGTGGCAGGAGCCTAAAGGAGCACCGCTCTCATAGCACTGAAGGGCCTAGAAGGACAGACACACTCCCAACCAGCGTAAGGAATACTGTGAAAAGGCCGAAAGACACTCGAGGACAAAAAAAAATCAGAGATGGCTTGGAAGATTAGCACTAGGCTGAAAGACGCCCTGCGTGCTGCTCCCAGCCCCTCTCCCGGCACTGCCCAAGCCCCCCTCGGATGAGCTGCGGGCAGCCGGCACACAGCAGGCGGCAGCTCCCAGAGCCGCAGCGGGGCCCCTTCTGGCAGCCTCCCCTGGCACACAGCCTCTGCGCCCGCAGCCCCCTCACCCCGCCGGGCCCCGGGGCTGCGGCTGCCCCAGCCTCGGCCCTGCGCCTCCGGGGGCGGCCCCGGGCTCCGAAGCCGCCCGGCCCAGCCCAGCCCAGCCCTGCCCGCGGGCCGCCGGCATCCCAGCCCCGGCCCCGGCCCCGGCCCCGGCCCGCCCCCGGCTCGCCGCAGAAAATGCAAGTCAGCGGCGGCTCCGCTCAAAAGTTTCGGGGGAGGCGCCGGGCCGGGAGGCGAGGGCGGCGGCCCGCGGGGGGCCGGGGGCTGGGGGCCGGGCACGGAGCGGCGGGGCCGGGCCGCGCTCACCTCCTTCTGCCGCGGGTCCTGCGGGTAGACGTCGGGCGGCCCCAGGCGCGGCCGCTTGAGCGGTCTCTGCTCATAGCTGAGGAGCCCGAAGGCGGCCATGATCGCTCATGTTCGCCGCTGGAGCGGGCTCCGAGCGCCAGGGAGCAGCACTCGGCGCCTCGCCCCCCGCCTCAGCCCCCGCCGCGCCGGGGGCGGGCCCCGCGCCGCCGCCACGGCCGGGCACGGGCACGGGGAGGGGGGGGACGGGGGCGGCCGGGCCCTGCCCGCTGCCTCCCGCAGGAGCCGCCCCCGGCCCCGGGGCTGCCCGCAGCGGGGTGGCAGCGCCCGGAGCCCCCAGCCCGGCCCCCCGGAGGCGCCTCGCCGCTGGTAGCACCGGTGCCGGGGCGGGGGGCGGCTGGCCCAGGGCGAGGCGTCGCCACGGACGAGGCAGACGCGGCCGCCCCCGGCTCCGCGCAGCGTCAGGCTGCAGCCGCCCCGGGGCAGCCCCCAAAAGCCCGGCCGGGCGCTGCGCGGCTCCTCTGCAGCATCCCTCCGGGGACCCCGAAGCGCCGAGGGGTCTCCGGCCTCTGCAGGAGGAGCCTGAGCAGGGTGCAGAGCCCCCGGGCCGCCGCCCCCTCTCCTGGCCCGTGCCCCACGGAGCGAGGCCCAGGTCCCCCTCCCGCAGGTACCGGGGGAGCACCGCGCCCTCCTTCCAGCTGCCACCGGCAGTAGAGGCGCGCGGTGCTGAGCCCCAGAGGCTCCTGCCGTCCCAGCAAGAAGGGCGGTCACCTCCAGTGCTGAAAACAGTGAGAAAACGGTAACAGAACCGGTGTCATCTCACAGGTGGGGTGCAAACCAGGCAGGACCTGAACGAGACAAGTAAGCCGAAGAAGGCTCTTTTCCAGTGCAAGGGAGGGGACCATCGGGGGGACCTGAGGCCACAGCACAGCCTGCAGAGCAGCTCGTGGTGCCTCAGAGCAGCAGCCAGGCAGCCAGGCCAGCTGTTAGTTACCATCCCTTGCCCCTGTGCAACCAGCCACAGCAGTACTTTTACAATATCCCTTGGTTACTTCTGTTTGTTTTTTAACCTTGGCCTCAAACAGTGACTCCCTTAATTCTTGTTTCAGGATGACATTAACAGAAAGCCTGGAATCTAGTGCCTCTGAGGAAAAAGCAACAAAAAACAAAACCGAGTATTTTCGCTTCCCCTTCTTATCCCTTCCTTTGTTGCGTCTTCTTTGGTTTTGTCATATATTCAGTGTAGTATTCGCTGCGGTGGAGCATGCAGCATTTGCAATAAAATATTTTCTGTGATCTTCAGATAGCTCAGCTTCACTTCTTTCCATTAATTACCTGAGGGATAAAATAACCAGTTATTTCATTCGCATGTTCCAGAAGAGGGAAGATGTTACAAAAACCTGTCAGAACGTTTATTGAAAGAGACCTTCCTTTTCTGCCAGTCTAACAAGAAAGCATGTAAATTTCTTCTCCTGTATCTTCTTTCCCTGTATTTGTTTGATAAACAAAGTATCCCAGGGTACCAGGCAATATCATTTTAGCCACTCAGAAAGCAACATTGTTTTCCTGTGCAAATATAAAGAAGCAGACCCTGTAAGTATCTCCCTAGTGTTCAATCTAGAATCCAACAGCTAGATTTAGGAAGTGATTTGTACTGTCTACCAAGATACATATCGAGGGGTTTCTGAACAAGTCTGTCAGAATCCATAGGTGCTGATGAACCTTGCCGTGACAAGTTGCTCCAAAGCAAACTCCCAGACCACTCTCAAGTTCAGTTCCCAGCTTGCCTGCACAGACTTCCCTCCAGCCCACTCCCCCACTGCCTTTACACCACCAGCCACTGGTGGGCAAAGCCCTAGGAAGGGAAGGTGGGAAGAAGGCTGTTGCATGGGCATGCATACGTTCAGGTCTTGCTTTCACTGCTACCACGTGGTGATAGTTACGCTGAAATACTCCACTTCTTCAGGGAGTAAATGCATTCTGCTCAAGTGTTCAAAATCATCTTTAAAAATAAAGGTATTTCCAAACCTACTGCTCAGCATCATGCACTGTGCAAGATTGGTGGGGCCAGATTCCTGTGACAGTGCCATCTTTTGGTTACATGTCATGATCATGCATGAGGCAGTTTTATTTAAGCTTTAGTTTAGAAAAAGAATTAAAAAGAAGCAAGGCTGGGTACAGACATAGCTAAGGTTGTCTAAAAACATATGTAGTTAAACCAGACTTAGTCACCTTTAAGCTCAATTGATATTATACTCTTAAAACATCTGAAGAGCATTCCTGCCACAGACATGCATCCAGATAACTAACTGAATTGATTTGGAAAATAGAGAAAAACCCTTGTGTTGTCTAGAAATTGCTAGCAGCCAGTAAATCGATGCTGCCAGCCATGTGGCTGACCCCAGGCAATGCCCCGGTGGGGCAGCATGCCAGGGCAGCCCCAGGAGCAGCAGGGACCCAGCCATGGGCACCCCACCTGCACGGCCTGGAAAACCAGGCGGAGGAGTTTGCCAAAGCATCCTGCCACACACAGCAGCCAGGGCAGGAGCAGATCCATCAGATACCAGCGTGCCAGGGCAGAGCGAGCGGCTGGATACAAGCGGGTGTCGCAGGGAGGGCTGCCCGGCCCAGCCCAGGCACCACACGCTGCCTCCCCGCTGCGTTAGGAGCACCCATAACGGGAGAGAGAACAGCTCAACGCTGCTGGCTCTAGAAGAACTCCTGGAAAAATAAAGCCTTCTAAAAACTCTAACTTTTGATGGGAGATAGCCAGACAAGGAGCCAAGCCTGGTCCTGAAATCCTCAGGTCACCCAGTCAGACAAGGGAGGAAGGGAGCACTCCTCAAATTACAGAGGTTCCTTCTGTCACCTTAAACCTTCGTTATCAAGTGACACAGGATGCACTGAAACGCTCTGCAAACTGCCTTTTTCCAGGCTGGAGCGTGCAAACTGGAGTTACACAGCAGACAGAAGCGGAGAGGGAAAAGGCAGACGTCCCCAGCAGCTCACAGGGCAGCACGCCCCGCGGTGCCTCCCTGCCAAAGCCCCCGAGGAGGGGGCACTGAGGAGGGGGCTGCCAGCACAGCTGGGCTGGGCACCCAGCGCCTGCCCGCCGGGGCGATGGAGAGCTCCTCGCTGCCTGACTGAGGCTGCATCTCCCCAAGGACTTGGCGTGCCACCATGCCAGCCCAGCAGAAGAAAATCATCTTTTGCATAGCTGGGGTGTTCAGCTTCGCTTGTGCCCTGGGGACCGCGGCAGCCATCGGCACTCAGCTGTGGATTAGAGGAACGATCCTCTGCAAGACCGGAGCCCTGCTTGTCAACGCCACCGGGCAGGAGCTGGAGAAGTTTATCGGGGAAATCCAGTATGGGCTTTTCTATGGCGAGCGAGTGAGACAGTGCGGGCTCGGAGGCAGACCTTTTCAGTTTTCATGTGAGTAAGAAAGGGGCTTGAATTATTTAACACTGTGCTGCTCACTGCTAGGGGAACCAGGAGATAACTGCCCTGGAACCCCCCTGTTCGTACACAGACCTTAACAGGCATGAAATTTTATAAAGCCTAATGCTACCCTTACGCCATTTCAGTCTTAGGGTTTAAATTACTCTTTTCTGATACTAGCAAAGCCATACTAATATTTTCAGCAGTTTGTGTTTCAATTAACAGATGCTACATAAAAAAACATATCTTTTTGAAAGAGTAATTTCATATATTATTGTTTGTCAATTAATTTTTATCATCTTTCTGTGCATGTCAATATTACATCCTCTGCTCTGTCACAAAAGAAAAATAAACTAGCAGGAATGTCAAAGAAATGGGGGGATAGAAGAATTTTGCTGCTGTTGAGAAACAAAACAGCCAGAGATTAGTAATCTGCTGTATTAATTGGAAAAACATCTGGTTGATACTAGCTGACATTCAGACAATTGATCTGCAAATTGAACTTAGTAACCAACATTCAAAATCTTATGAAACTGTTCGCAGTGGTTTTGCTTTACATGTAATATTCATAACCTGTTCATCTTCAAGGGTAAGAAGATCAATGAAGTGATCAAGTGAAGACATTTTGCATGTAGCAACACTAAACAGATGATAACAAACAGTCATTTCTTATACATACTGCATGCCACCTGAAATTATTACAAAACAAAATTTGGAAGCAATCTGCTAAAGCAGCACTGGCAAATTGCTTACATGAGTCACCTAAGGCAAAGTAAGGTTACCAGATTAAGTGTCATAAATGGTCTGCTACATGTTTTTTCAAAGCAGTAGACCAGACTCATTTTACACAATATGAAGGCTTACCTTCTCTAATTAATTCCCATCACTAAGCTATTTAGCGAGCTGGAAGCTCTCGGTCCCGCTGCACACTGTGGCTGTGAAGGAAGATGCGCTGCCCTGCAGGTATCGGCTGCAGGACCTTCTCAGAGCAGTCCACAAAGCCCCAAGGAACTCATTTCCTACCGAGGGTCGAGCTGTCCCTTCCCGTGAGCTGCTGCCAGCCCTGTGGCTGAGGCCTGCTGGGGCCCCTGGCCAGCGCTGAGGGGACCAGGGGGTCCTGCCTGCCTCAGACAGGGACCCAGCCCCAGCACTGCCAAGCAGCCACCCAGGCGTCCCATCCCGCAGGGAAAGCCAGCCCGAGCCAGAGGCAGGCAGCTGGCTTCTGCTCCTTATCAGCTGCAGAGACTCCCAGACCTTGAGACCGTTTCCTTACTCAAGCTCCTGTCTGTTCACTTCTGCTTTAAGTTCATCACGTTATGGCTAAAATATGTTAATGTACTGCTAGGGTGATTCCAGCAATAGGTTCTCTGAAAACAGACATCAGGCATTCAAAGCTGTCAGGAATTCCATAAAGAAAAATGGAAGAGTAATTCACTCAACATCAGTAAATGTCATTTATTCATTTAGAGAACTGAGGTTCAAGGCATGTGCTTTAATGTCTGTTGTCAGAATCTGAACCCAATGCTGGATTTAATCTCATGCCGAGACCCCCCAGGCCAGAAGAGAAGCTGTGATATGCCTGTGGTAGGGCAGCATCCCTCCCTGGAGAGAGCAGGCTTCCTTCCAGGGGCCTGGCGGCCCAGCACACTGCTGACAGCAGATCATCACCCAGGGCAGCAGCGGGAGCAGGTCTGAGGGGAACCTAAGAGCCTCAACAGACCCGAAGCAGCCTGCCCAGCCTGCCTAAGGGCAGGATTTTACCTTTTAATTTCCGTCCATGCAAGTCAAACGTTAGTAGTGAAATACTTCAGTAGGTCCCACACAATGTTAGAAGCACATTGCAGGTTGTTTATCTGCCCTGGAATCCTTTACATAGCACACGATGAAAAGGTAACGCTGTGAGGAGATCCCTGGCAGCGTGCACCCAAACCACTCCCCAGTCACAGCCCCAAAGCTCCGTGAGCCCAGCAGCAGGTCCCGGCCTCACCTCCCTGCTCTCACCAACAACTGACGGCAAGCACTGATGTTGTCTTCACACGTTGTTCTCGGACCTTTTATTTGGACTAAAAAGTAAATTCAACAGTTACGTTAATAGGATTAATATTTAGAAAACAATGTCTGGGTGTCTTAGCAAAGCCTGCATCTACCAAAAGCATCCACTTTAGAGACGGGACACAGAGAGGCCGCCTCACACTCACTGCGGCTAGAGGAGACCCATCCTGTCTGAGCCAGAGCCCTCGGGAGCTCCCTGTGAGCAATGCAGAAAGCAGAACCACCACGTACAATGTACACGCCTGTTCTTTAATGCACTGAAGTGCACTTTAGCATGTCTAAGAAGAAAAGGCATGGAAAATAGGCTAAATGATTTAGTTCTATGTTTGCTCCCATTAAATGCTCCCCTCTGACCACTGTATCTCTTTTAATTGTAAAATGAATTTGCTCTGCCAGCAAACCCTGTTAGGCTGGGGAAAGCCTTCTGCCTCATTTACTCTTGCTGATTCTCATCTGTTTCTAGGTCAGCAGTTCATTTTCTAAAGGTCACTGGCATGCATACTGAAACACTATTTCATTCATTACAATGAAGGAATGTTTTTCTTTCAAGACAGCATTGTTACTGGAATTATTTTTTCCCCAATATGTCGCTAATAAAATTTTAATGACAAAAACTATAAATGCAGGTGCCAAGGGAAAGATTCAGCACAATGCAGTAGCATACTTGCTTAAAATAAACAATAAAAATCTGTATTATGAAACAAGCTCATGTTCTCCCAAAGGATTAGGTAGTGTTGCATGAACTAATGTTATTCCTTGCACAAATTCTGCACAAGCAAGGACTCTTCAGCCTTTTGCTGGCTATCTTGAATAGTACAAGAGTAAAATCATTCTTTACAGCATACTAGCAGTACAGCTGTTCCTTACACTTGTGAATACACAGCATTTGTAACTTTTTGGAGTATTTTACAGTCCAACAGACACAAGGTCTAGTTTCCAAAAACTGCTTTGTTCTACTAGGATGAGATAAGCAATTTAGCCACCAGCAACAACTGGACAATACAGGGCCGTCAGCAGCAGCTGCCTTCCAGGCATGGAGATTCTCCCTGCACACCAGGCAAACCCACCCAGTCGGTAACTGGGCGAGCACCACACTGCAGCGTGCTCGCAGGGCTGTGCATGCAGCGCGGGCCCCACAGTGCCCTCTCTGCTCTCAGCAGACATTAGCAGCACAAAGTGGCAGTAACACAGCTTCGGGAGCAACGCACAAGCATTTGTGCCATTAATTTCCCTTTCGTTCAGTCAGGCGATAAATTGGCTTGACAACACATTACCTGTGTCTCTGTATTTACTGCATTGCAGGCTACAAAATCTTTGCTGGTAAACATTTTGCAAGGTAGGTTAATTTACGTGAGGCTTATTCCTCCCAGCACATTGCAGCTGCAGTGAGGCAGCTCCAAGGTGTTATTACCCTGCTTTAATTGTGCCCCTGTGGATCAGCAGCAGCTAAGTGTGTTTGATGATTACTTCTGAAATATCCATTGTCACTAAACAAACATGAGTGATTAAAGATTACCCTTATACCAAGGCTGATCAACTATCCCCTGTGCCACAGCCAAGCGGGATCACACTTTGAAAAAAACTGCATGAAAAAATATTTAAAATGATTCCTAACATTTGGCCTATGATGGTCACGCAGGCCATTACACAGCTGAACCTCAGCACAGCCTCTGGTAGATCAGGCAGCAGTAATTAACCGTAAATGCCAGATCTGACACAGCGTGGCTGCTGTTCCCACTGGTAGGGTCTCCTCGTGCTGCATGGACTCCCGACGGCGGGCTGCTGGGGCAAGTGACATAGCAGCAAATGCAGCCAGTGCTAACACAGGCTTTGGAAACAGTTATATAGCATAGAGCAAGCACATTGCATGGACTGCCTAACAGGCAGTGCTCACACATAACCAACAATGTTTTTCTTCTTGACCCTGCTGAGCAGAGCTTTGCTGCAAAAGCAGCAGCATTTTGCCAGCCAGCAGGAGAACCAGCACAGACCTGAACAGCACCAGGTTTCGTAGCCACACGCTTCAGTATTTGATACCTTGTTTTCTCTTGGTATCCTCCTTTCTTATTGCAGGACTTCTCCACTCATTAATTTATCTTCTTTTTGGCCACATGCTTCCAGATAAAAACATCCCTCAAATCTTTCACCTGTGGAAATACAGGGGAGAAAACTTCAATCACACAAAACACTCCATCTTTCAAAATTTCACTCTGAGTTTGTGGCACGTACTCCTATGATATAACCTTCATGAATGACTTCCTCTATTTTAAAATAGTGAAATAAGATACTACTTTAAGAGATTCAGGTAAGTACAGAAATAGACGCTTTAATAAAAAATAAAAACAGGAAAACATCAAGTGATAGGAAACCTCCTGTCATTTTTAGTGTCTTCAAATCAAATCTTTGGCATTGTTAGTGGATTTTCACAGGGAGTTCCCATCATTTCCATTCTGTAAGCATCCACACACATTACCTTTCCCCAAATACCATTCATTCTTGCAGCTTTTAATGTCACCCAGAAACAGATCACACTGCAGTTCACCTGTATGTCAGTACCACAGGTTTACTAATATTTTTTTTCATTGCTAAACATGGACCTTTTTATAAATATTATATATTTTATAAATATATAAATATAAATATTATATTTTATAAATATTAACATATTTAGTGCTTTGGATTTTCGCTTTAAAAAAAAGCATTTAACCAAAATTCTTTGGGCATAAGTTTAACAGAACAGCAGTGAATATTTGTGCAAGTCAAAGTGGTGGAATCACTGCTTTCAGATGTAATGGGAATCAACATTACAGCTGGGAGCAGTTCTTTGCTTTCCTAGCAGACAAAGCAGCCAAACCCCCACATTTCTACACGGGACACACAGATAGCACATGGTATTCCAGACCCACTGAATAAGCATCCAAGGCACAGCAGAGCCTACCTCACACCCACCAAATGATCATCTCACATGCCCACAGGGTTGGGACCACTGCATTCCCTGGGGCTTTGTCGTCCCACACCCCACACCAGGCGTGCACCAGCGGGACAGGAGCAGAGCCTGGCCTCCCCCTGGCCCCCCTGCAGGACTGGTGCTCCAGGCACTGCTCAGAGCACAGCTGTGAGTGATGGTGCTCAGCAAGGCGCCTCTCATCCTGCATTGCAGTAAGCAATGTCTCACCTCATCCCCTCTGCACATGTATTCTGGAAAACAAACCGCACTGGTCAGAACAATCCAGTCCGAGAGACAGGCTTTGTATGACTTGCTGATCACTCCAGACAAGATCAGGCACAAAAGTGACACTCGCATCAACCGTAACTAAGTTTGGATGCTAATAAAGGTCTGGGCAAAGCAATAAATATAAATGACGTTCCAGTCAGTGAATGAGCTAAGGAAATAAAATTTACCCTCAGTAAGCATGAGCATAAATGCAAGGAGTTTATTTCTGGATTTGCTGTCCACCTCCCCAAAAGACAGATCTCTGGCCAATGCCTCTGAGAGACTTGAGACTAAATCTGTTGCATTTGGAAAAGCACAATTTAAATAATTTGCACAAATTAGCAGTGAATTGCTTACATTTTTATTATTTATTTATTATTGCTTATAACTTTTAGTTTTTCCAGATCTGCTCAAAATTATCCCTGCAAGTATCCATGTGAGCGTCATTCTCTTCTGCACAGTGCTGATCATCTTTGCCCTGGTGGGAACAGGCTTCTTCATGTACAATGCTTTCGGCAGCCCCTATGAAACTTTGCATGGCCCTGTAGGGTTGTACCTCTGGACCTTCATTGCATGTAAGTACCATTCTACATCACCTGAATTTGGGATATATATTTTTTTTTGGCTGATTTATCAGCACAGTAGACTATTAAGGACTACAGCTGCATTGACTCCAAAGTGACAAAAGGAAATCTAGGAGAGAGGTGGATAATTTTGCTGTATTGACACCTGGCTTTCCTCCAGGTGTCAATACAGCAAAGGTGTCTTCTGACTCCAGGTGTTTTCCTGGAGTCAGAAGACAAAATTCTGAAGTTCCCCATGGCAGTGCGTGGTGGGACAGGCCAGCAGGTAGCAGAGAGACAGGGCAGGCTGTCCTGTCCCCTCTGTCAGGAACATGGGGACCCCAGCACAGCCAGTGGGCAGTGAGTCCCAGCACAAGATGAGTGGGAGGTCTACTCGTGACACAGCCTGTGGACTGTGGTTCTAGAAATAAGCTCCCAGTAAAAATGAAGTCATGATGGCCATAACACCACCATCAATACAGCATTCCATTGTGATGGATGTAATATAACCTTGTAATATGCCAGGATTTCTGATGTGGTGAGCATCTCTCGTGTTCTTTCAGGTTCCTGCGGTTGTCTCATCCTGATTCTCTTCTCCTCAGAGGTGAAGATCCACCACCTTTCAGAAAAAATTGCTAATTTTAAGGAGGGAAGTTTTACATTTAAAACTCACAGTGAACGGTTTGCAGATTCCTTCTGGATCATCCTAGGCTGCTCCTTGGTGCACTTCATGAACGCCCTCTTGATCCGCTTTGCTGGCTTTGAATTTCCTTTTTCAAAATCAAAGGATTCAGCAACAACCACTGGAGCCGTTGACCTGATGTATTAGATTTACTTAATTTATGAACATTTAAAGCAAAGAGGTTTATCACCGCTATCTTCAACAATCACCAAGAGTACTAACTTTTAAATGATTAGCTCTAAAGAAATTAAAAACAAGAGAAGGTTTTAGGTAGATGTCAATGTGACATATACAGTAAACAAAAGATAACATGCTATCTGGTGGCATCGAAATCAAAATACTCTTCCTTGGAGTAAAACCTTATCAGTATATCTACCCTTCCTTCCTCCAGGAACTTATTTTAGAAGTAGGTGGTGCCGACAAAATTAAATCAATAGCATTGAACTGAATCTAGATAGTAAGATAAGTACTCAACCATGTAAGAGTCTACGATCACCAGCAGCACAGTTTTGACCTTTACCTGTTTTAAGTGCCGCAACCATCACCACATCAGGGCAGCAGACCATAAGGGCAAAGAGCAGCAGGGCCAAGAGGAGAAAGCCCTCAGGCTTTGTGCCTCAGGCAGCAGGCACTACCCCAGAAACCCCACTGGAGGGGAAGGCATGGCTTTGGCAAGGGCTCATGGACAGAACCCAAGCACCCAAACCCACCACTAACACTTTAAGCTTGTGTCACGTGTGTGACAACACCATTATTTCTGTCCATGAGCTTCTCTTAAGTTCTTTAATTCTAAAAGCCCAAACTATTACTCTGACCCTGAATTCCAAATTGCCCAGTGCAACCACTGCAGCTGTGGGTATGGCATGCCTTTGGTTAAGGGAATACACTGGCAAACTGTTGGTTTTTAACCCGACCAGCAGCTCAGCACCACACAGACATTTGCTCACCACCCCTCCCTCCCCCCAGGATTGTGTAGAAAATCAGAAAACAATAGAAAGTTTGTGGGTTGAGATAAAGCCTTATTATTAGGACAGAAAATAAATAATAATGTGTACAAAATAAGTGATGCACAATGCAATTGCTCACCACCCACTGACCAATGCCCATCCCATCCCCGAGCAGCACCCCAGCCAGCCCCCCCCCAGTAATTGCTCAGCTTGGTGCCACATGGCATGGAATACCCCTTTGGAAAGTTTGGGTCAGCTGTCCTGGGTCTGTCCCCCCTCCAGCTCCCGCTGCACCCCCAGCCTGCCCACTGGCAGGACAGAGCAAGAAGCTGAGATGTCCTTGGCTTGGTGTAAGCACTGCTCTGCAACAATTAAAGCATCAGGGTGTTATCAGCACTATCCTCAGCCTAAATCCCAAACACAGCACCCTACCAGCTACTAGGAGGAAAAATGACTCTATCCTAGCCAAAATATAAGACAGAAATATAAGACGTAGAGGAGATTCAGAGTACTCCCTCCTGCGTACATGAGGGAGGAAGCCTGGCCGAGTACTGCTGAGCAGCCGCTGTGCAGCACAGCGAGGCAAAGAGCACACCCAGGAACACAGCAACATAAACCCAAACCAGGCACCTTTGGTACTGTGCTACACCCACCCAAAGCTTCATTGTCACAATTATGAACTTCTCAGCCCAGAGAACAGCCAGTAAGTGCTCTCTCATTAAGCAGCACAAATAAACAAAAAGCAAAGCTCCTGGCAAACAGCAGCGATGGGAAGAGGCCTCAGACACACACAGCACGCTGCAGCTCAGCAGGGGCTGGCAAGGAAACACCTGAGGCTCTCCAACTCAAGACACACAGGAAGCCAGCGGGGATGAATGCATCGGTCCCTGTGTCTCTGGACCTCTGCAGGTCAGGTAAGGCAGCCAGGCCACTCACCCCAGGTATGGCTATGTCAGCCTAATTACTTACAGGCAGGTCAAAAGAGCTTCACCTCAGCAAACACCACCTCCGTGGAGATGAGGCTCTCCTTGCATTGCACAGAACCGCTCTTCCAAGCAAACAGCAGAGGAGGTGCCCTAGGGGAGCAGGGGCTGCACCAGCTGCCCATTTATCTGCCCAAGTTGCTGAGGTTTCAGGTGCAGCTGCAAGCAATGAGCAATCCCACTCATCACCCCTGGAGTCACCTTGCGTCTCAGGGAGCCTTGTGCCTCAAGCTGCAGCATCTTACAAGATGACCTTGCTGACATTTATGCCAGTTTTTATACTTTTACTATGAATGGCAGAAAAACCATGCTTATTTTTGTAAAAGGTGTTCATCTTTGTTCCCGCTCCACCGAGCCTCATACAGAACAACCCTGCCTCCCGAGCTGTATCGTATACACCTCGTTTCTAACAATGTGTAAGCACTACTGCAGATTTCCACGACCACCAACATTTTTTTCACATTTTCCTTCTGAGCTAATGTGTGTTCTTGTTAATTAATATTAATGCATCTTCTTAACACATAATTTGTATTACGTTTCATTGTGTTACCATAGAACAAGTACTGAGAAGCAATGTTTCGCCCTTGTTCCTGGTGCTTTATGAACCCAATCTGCTTTCAGCCCTGCTGCCCTGCGGGGGTGAGAGGTACCGGCTGCCCTCAGCGCGGCGCCTGCCCTGTGCCCTGCCAGTTCTGAAGGAGTGAGCTTGTATCTGTAAGGCAAAGAACTGCACGGAGCTACTCAGTGCAGATCAGCCTTCTCACCACGTCTGCTGTGCAGAGAGGGGCCCTGCTCCTGGGGAGCCCCTGCACAGAGAGCTCCTCTCTGTCCCAGCCCCATCCCCTCCCAGCCTACTCTCAAGTGTGAGGCCAGCTGTTGAAGCCATGTTTGTCTGTTTTCCAAGGCAAATATAATAACTTCTTACTAGCAAAATTAAATTTTGACAATATTTAGGTTGGACCAGCTGAAAGCGACAGTTGCAGTGAGCATGAGACACTCAGCTCATGCTCCTGGATCAACACCAGCACGTACTCTGTGGATCACTTTTAATCCGTGAGCATCAACTGAAGTTTTGCTCTGCATCATTTCTAATTTCACAATTAAAAAATACATATATACAGCTAGGAGAAATATGTAAATATATTTTGAATGTTCTTGAAAATTCAGATTTTTTTCTATCACAATAAAAAAAAATAGTACACATGTGTGTCTGTGTGTGTGTGCAGTGAGCATAGCTATAACCACAAACACGTGCACTACATGTTACACAGGGTGTGTATCAGGATTATCCTGCCCACCCAGCAATGCCACCCCAGAGGTGCTGCAGATGCGGGTGCTCTGTGCCTGGTGACCCCATGCACGGCTGTGAAGGGAGCTGAGGCCGCACGGGTGCCTCTGCTGGCGGACTCTTTTGAAACAGATCCATTTTCGTGTTTTTTGTTGTCGAAGGTACTACGCCAAGCAGACGATTTATCATGCAGCACCCGCTGACAGAGTAAATGCAGTCAGCTTCTGTGCTGTGGCACTGGCAGCACGTCCAAACTGAAACCTACCTGCAGAAACTTTTCTATAGGGCGCAGCCAGGAAATTACACGCGTCTGCAGATGCTGGGGCACGGAGCAACGAAGGTGGTGGTGCTGTGGGAGAGAAGCCAGAGGAGACCCCTGCAGGGGCGGCTGGTGCCCTGGTGGGGTGCTGGGGCCCTGGTGTCCCTGTGGGCAGCATCGACATGGGGGGGAGGGTGCTGCTGGCCCTGCTGGGGTCCTTCTGCCCCCAGCAGTTGTGGGGCTGGAACCATGCAATAGGAGAAGTTAATGGAAGCGTGCAGCATCTCGCAGCATGTCCTGCACCACGGAGAAGCTGGAGAAGCCGGCGGGGCCGAGCCCAGAGCCCCGCTGCTGTGGGTGTGGGATTCCCCTGGGGAACCAGTGACTTTCCCACAGCTCCCTCAGGCAGAGCCGCTGACCCTGCGCACACCCGCCTCTGGCAAGCTGGCAGGTACCGACCAGCATCCCCCTTCCTGCAGCTCGCCCGTCCCCAGCTGGGCTCCCCGTGAGCTGGTGGCTGCGTGGTGCCTGCAGAGCCGCGTGGTGCTCTGCTCCGCTCCACAGCCCCAGCCCTCGCAGCCCCACGGTGTCCCCCCGCTGCGCTCCTGCAGACCGTGACCAGCACTGATGAAAGTTTAATCACGGCGTGGCAGCGGGAGGTGACGGTGAGCCTGGAGCCACGGCTCTGATGGACGAGCAGGGAGCTGGGCACCCCGGGCACCCCGGGGCTCAGGCAGCACTGGACGAGATCTGCAACAAAATTTCAGATCTGAACAAATGGAGGGAAATCTTTCGTTTCCGTGGGTAAGGTTTTTGTCCCCCTTTGTTATCACACATTTTAAATTCCAGACTTTTTGTAACATTATATTTCGTCACAAGACTTATGCCAACGCAGGAAGGTTTTCAGGTACTTAGTAACGCGAATGCAACAGCTTTTCCTCCTCTTCTCTTATGGAGTTCTTCTCCAGCTGGTCTCCCGTTCCTTAATGCATTACCAATGCCTCTGTTTTATTTTTTGATTTATATTTTATTTTGCAGTTTGGAAATCACTACTACTACTCATCAGGTAAGCGTTTCTCTAAAAGGTAACATTTTGTACTTGTCTACCAGTTTTTGCAGCTGTTTTGCCATGTTGTCCTATTGAAGAAATTACTCATCCCAGTGTGTAGTACAACAGCCTTTATAGAGACTTATTTCTTGTGCTCCTTTTCTAAGAAACGTGCGTTTTCTTCAGGTATTTAAAGGGATGTTTTCCCAATCTGAATCAAAATAGCAAAACATTTCGACATTAATTGACCTTTCTGTCTAAACATAACCGTTTTCATGGTCAGTGGTCAATTTTAGAAGATGGGGGAAAAAAAGATAGTAAGTGAAGACCACAGAATACAAGTATTTGGAGAACCTACTCCATCCTTAGGGTGACAAGCACTGAAGCTTATTTCCTGAAATTCGGACAAACACAACATTCTTCTACACTATAATCATTTGTTCGTGTGGGAGTTATTTTTAACAATTAGTTAAAGTTAGTTGGAAGTGAAGTATACAAATGCATATTTATCTGTCTAACACAAATATACCTAAGCCTCACACCCTTGTCAGTTTATACATAGCAAAACAACTTAGGAGCATAAAATTGATATTTGAAAGTAAATACCACGCACCTTTAAAACAAACAATTTGTAACTAAAAATTGACTGTGTTTACCCAGGCCTGTTTTAAGCAGAAATGTCCCCCGTTGCTGTTAGCCTGTCAGTGGTGAAGGGGGCTGTAAAGGAAAACTCGGCTGCGCGGGGCCCATCCCCACAGCCAGCAGGCAGTGTGGTGGATGGCAGAGCCGAAAAGTGCACCCTGCAGCCGTGGCGGGGAAGGAGACAAGCAGGGAGTGAGCACACAGGGCACGGGTGGTGCGGGGCTGGCGGGGTGAGGGCACAAAGCTGCTGCCACCAGGCACTACGGGCAGTCCTGCTGCTCCCCCTCGGCCCCGTGTGCCATCATCTGTGCTCATGCTGGGGGCTGGAAACCCTGGGAGCGCTCCAGGAGCCTCCAAACAGCTGCCCCTCTCTCCCTTCCTCCAGGGACGCCCGGGCTGCGGGACGGACGGAGGGCACGGAGCAGGCGGTGCCGGAGGGACCCCGCAGCCCCGCTGCCCTCCCGCGGTGCCGTGGCCTCCCCCGGCCTCCCCCAGCCGGGGCAGCCAGCCCCTCTCGCTGGGCATGGCGATGGTGAGCAGGGCTGTTATTTATTTATGGGACTCTTAAAAGCATGGCTGTAACACAACCTCAGAACCAACACACTACACTTCACGTTAGATAATAGGCCCAACGGCAAGGCACAAAGCGTCCTGCTTCTTGGTGCTCTCCTCGGGAATAGCCTCAGAACAGAAGGCAGAAATTTGGGAGAGCAGTAGGATGGTTTTCTGCTTGCCCACAGCAGGTCTGCAGAGCATCAGCGCTTGGTGCCGGCTGCCCCTGGGCCTTCACCAAGGGGCTTTACCAAAAGCTCGGCGGGTTTTCTGCAGGGGGGCAGCAGAGGGGTCCCCAGTGCTGACCTTGCCTCCTGTGACCTCCAATACAAAACCCATCACCTGTCACTGTGCCACAAACATGATAAAAAGCTCAAGAGCTTGAAAAGCCTGGCCAGGGCTGCTGGGCTGAGCACACCCCCAAAAAAGGTCCCGTCCTGAAGAGACGTGGGCACAGAACTGCCCTTAGGGGCAGCTTCACAGGACTCCACCTGCTCCATGAGGAGCCCCCAAGCACAAACCATGTGGGTTTGAGCAAAACAACTGGCATGTTCAGGGGTGTGTGCCTGGTGTTTTGCTCCGAGGCTGTGGGTCCTGCAGGAGCTGCACCCGGCACCTCTCCATCCCCTCCATCCCCAGGCGCTGCGGAAGGTGCTGTTCGGGGATGCGTCCCACATCTTCAGCCATGACTGGGCACAAGCACACTTCAGGTTTCGTGAGCCACACTCCGACCTGGCCTACGCTCTGGAGGCAGACAAGGTAACGCGCCAGTGCCGTGTCTGCACCCCGGGCCAGCCCACGGGATGTGGCAGCCAGAGGTGCACACTCCCACACCCGTATACCTGCAGACCTGCACGCACACCTCCCGTGCCCACTCTGGTGGCACAGGGTGGAAATACTGGAGCAGATTTCAGTGGAGCAGCTATTCTGATCCAGCACCGTGCTGCAGACACAAGCTCGAAATACCGCAGCACTAACTGCATCCAGGGATGAGCTGCAGGTTGCTGAGGGTGGGCACGTACAGGTGTACTCGCCCATTTCTTTGGGGCAGTAGTCAGCCACTTCTTACTGCCCCGCCTGGACATGAAGGAGGTGAATTTATCTGTGTTTTAACTTGCTGAAATAGGGTGGTTCTCTTCTTCCTCATTTGCCATCACAATGCTGCCCCCCAAAGAAGCAGCAGACCAAGATACACACTTAAAATTGCAAATACTCTGGACCTGCCAGGAGCTTAAAATGCTTTTCACAAAGGCAGGTGAGGCTCCTTGAGGTCAAAGGACACTTGGGTGCAGTGCAGAAGGCAGATCTGCCATCGGCAGCAGGCAGGGCCCTGCATGGAGCCCCAACTCAGTTGGAGCCGCGCTCCTGCCAGCCCCGGTCCCTTTGTCACCAGGCAGAGGAGAGGAGGGAGAGCCCACGGTGCTGACCCTGACCCCTTCTCTGGGGCTGGGGCTCCCACCTCGCCAGGATGCACACGGGCATCCTCCCTGCATGAGCACAGTAACAGGGCCACCACGGGCTCTTCTTGCATAGAGACTTCTTATTTTTAGGCACATAAGATCTTTTTCAATTTTCTTTTCTATTTATCTCAGAAGTCAGCAGCCATCCTGAATTACCAGGGAGAAGAGAAACACTACTGCCCTTGGTGCTGGCAGCAGGCTGGCTCAGACGGTCAGAATGCTGCAATTTCCAGCAGACCGGCACAGCTCAGCTTGCTTGGGCTCATCAGCACTGGCAAGTGTTTGCTCTCTGTTTCTAGGGAGGAACGAGAGCCATTCTGATGGCTGTACAAGGGAACATCATTAAGTATCTGCTCTTCGTAAGAAACACGGAATATACTCACCTGGAAAGGTAAGCATTGAGCCTTCCCAGGGAAACACAGAAACTGCTTCCTTGCATTATTAGAACTAATAAAACTAGCACCTACCTCCAAGTTCTACCAGATAAGAGCTAACATCAGGGCTGCAGCTGCAGATGGAGACCTGCACCCTGCGGGAACGCCGTACCTGGCTCCCAGGCAGGGATTTTCCCACCCAGCCTTTGCTGCTGCAGGAGCAGTGCTTGCCTCCTCGGCACAGCCCCTGGTGCTGTGGTGGCAGCGGGGCACCCCACAGCACTCGGAGGGTCCCCGCGCTGCTGGAAACGCCGGGGGTGATGGGCCAGGCTGCGGGCATGGCTCCCTTCCTCAGTGCCCTCCTGCCTTCACAGGTCCGCTCCTTAGAGCTGCGTGGGCCTGACCCAGCATATTCAGGCAGGACAGGGCCTCTGGGGGCTTGGCTGTGAGCGGGACCACTCCAAGATGAGGGTGTGGGGACTCTCCGCATCCTCGAGGACAGGCCCACAGCCAGCAGGCAGCTGGTGGGGACATGGGGCAGTGGGGACACAGACCCCTTGCTGCCACTGCCCCGCCTGCCTGCCGCACTCCGCTGTGTCCTGCTCTGCAGATTGTGCAAAATAAGCCAAAAGGAGCAAGGAGAGGCCCTGGCTGCAGCCCTGGCAGACAGCCTCTGGGCAGCGGGAGAAGGTCGGGAAGCCACCGTCTGCCTTATCTCAGCAGCCACCCACTTCGTCCCTACCACAGACTACAAAGCAGACAACTTCACTGAACGGGTGAGTAAGAAAACACTTTCTGTAAACAGTTTTTTAAGATATTTGGCCTGAAGATTTTAGAAAAAATAAAAATAAAAATCTTATAAACCCATTCCCTACTTATGACACATCACAAATTATAAGCACACAGGGCCCACATCCCAGTTGGAGCTTGAAAGATGTTTCTGCCACCTTTTGAAGGCTTTAGGTGAATCCAGGGTTTGTAATTATTTTTCATTAAAGACTGATCTTTCTTCTGGGAAAAAAAATAATAATAATAATAATTAAAAAAAAAAAAAAGTTGAATTAAAGCCTATAGCCTTTGACTATTTGCAAAGAACTGAACTCCAGAATTGAGGAATGGTCAGAGTAATTTCTTGTGTTAGTCCTTCATTTGTCTGAAGGAAACACTGAATTAAAAAGCTTCTTAATATAATGTCTCCTTTTTTTGTTTCTCACCTTATGCTTCTGCCCTGCAGATTCAGCTGTTTAACTTTTGTGAGAAAGCAGCAGCTCAGAAATTTATCTTTGACCACATAAATTGTGTACGTATGGAATATTTGCTGTATTCTGAGTTATTTTCTGCTTGCACCTGATCTCTCACACAGAAGTGGGCCTTGCAGAGCTCAATAGCAGGGTCTTCAGCAGGACAGCCAGGCTGTTAGCCCCAGTTGTTCAGGGACCATTCCTAGGTTGTTGTTTTTTTTTACTACAGGGAAATGATCCCACTGCCACTGCAGTCACTGGAACCTCACCACAGATGCCAGGCAAACAGGGGTAACATTTAAAAAACATGTACAAAAATAGGTTAGTCCAGAACTGGACTTTTTTTTTTTTTCTTTTCACTTGGTCCTATTCAACAGAACTAGTAGCAAAGCCAAAGTCTTCCCAGAATAATACCTTGTTCATTTGGCTCATTATATTTATCTAGGGTTGATTTAAGCAGAGGAATTGTTTTAATTAAGCATCACATATGTGCCATAGTTCCTTCCCTGTGATTACTTTTTTCTTTTTCCAGTTTAAAAGTGAAGGAAGTAAGGGACTGATCCTGTTTTTGTACAGTTTACTTTTCTCAAGGACACTGGAAAGGTATGTTTAATTTTTTAAATTTTCTTCTAGTTTAGTTACATTTTATGAAATACTCTTTTTCTTATTTTAGTTACATGCTCACTCTTATACTAATGAGAAGAAGCAACAGTCAGAGGAATGTAGAGCTACTGGCTGAGTTTTGATGAAAAAGAGGCTGATGTTGTACATTAACGTGTGTCCTTCTCGTGCCTACACGTGCAGGAGCAGGCAGGAGGGAGCAGCAGAGAGGCGATGTGCCTGGCTGCACACACAGGAAGAACAGTAGCACTGTACCAAATCAGGGGTTATTCTACTGGTAGCCATAACCATAGCTACAGCTGATTAAACTTACACATGAAAATCACAAAAAGCTTACTTAAACACAGGAAAAATACACCAGCATAACTTTGTTAGCAGAGGAGGCTGATACAGTCTTCCTACAGGCAATGTAACTGCATTTGTGTAAAGATGCTACAGATACAGAGGCATCACTGCACCAGGGATTTATACTAACGTGACACCGATGGCTATTTAGCAAAAAATTGCAGTGCTGCTTCAGATAGTTATATTCAGGTTAAACTTGGGGGTAGCTGAGGCACTGCCTGAAATCTCTGTTCCATTCTGCAGAAGGTTGGAAGCCAACCCTAGCTCTGAATGTTAACAGACATAGGCCTGAAATGCGAGAGCTCAGGAGGAGCATAAAATTCCTGTAGTGGGACACTACTGCTGTGCTCAAAAAAAGAAAAGGAAATGATTCTGTGAAATTTCTTTCTGTTCTCCGTATTAGTCAGACATGATGTATGACGCTCCAGTCACTGACCTGGACATTACAGTGATATTTTGTGTCTGGTTGCACAGGGTCCAAAACGATTTAGGTGGCACGACACCTCACCTGTTAGAGTCCAGTTGTGGAAACGTCATCTGCACACAGGTAGGACCAGCCTCACTTGCCAAGTGTTTCTGTCATTATTATTCCTCCTATGTCTGATTTTGGAAAACACCCCCACCTGTTAATCACCTAAAAAAATTGTGAGGCGACACTTGCTGTAAATGTTATCCATGAGCTGCTGGCCGTGCCGTGCGAAGGCCGTTGGGAAGGCAGGGTCCTGCAGCTGCCCCGTGCTGTGTGGGGCCAGGGCCCGGGGCTGGGCACCCAGTGCCTCCCCTCGCGCTGCTGCTGAGCGGGGCCCTCGCCTGCAGGCACTGCTCCAGGTCGTCCTGGCGGGCAGCGCGTGCCCCAGCCACCGCTGCGAGGTGGGCTTCCTGCGCTGGAGCCGGGAGGAGGCCGGGCACCACCTGCCCCCGGTGAGCACTGTGCACCCCATCTCCAAACCCACTCCCATCCCCAATCCCGCTCCCATCCCCAAACCCCGCAGCAGATGAGGTGCTGGTAGTTTCCCAGCCCTCGCTGTGCCTCACGCCGTGCCTGGAGACACGCCTCGGGCTCCCATGAGGGCGGCAGCCCCCACAGCCCCTTAGGCAGGGGTCCCCGGTGGGTAGTGCTGCCTGCGTACCTGAGCTGCCCGTTCCACCCCCAGGTTGGAAGCGTGCTGAAAACCCCTAAATTTCCTATCTGGCTGTGCAGCATCAACGGGATGCACGGCGTCCTCTTCAGCACCAACAGGCTGCTCCTGTCCGACTGGAAGATGGAGCACGTTTTCCACCTGTACTTCTACAACGGGCAGCGAGGGCAGACGAGAACAGCCCACCTCACAGTAGGTGAGCACTCAGACGAACCCCGGGGGCACAGAGCTGCAGGTGTCACGTACAGGCGTGCGTGGAGCTGTGTTTGCATAGTGCTGTGTGTATCTGCTTACATACACAGCCCAGCGGAGCAGTGCACATGCACTGATACAGACATATGCATACAGCGTGTTTGCGTTTCCGTGCCCAAGAGCAAGGTGCTGCTGGGTGCCCTGAAACCTCACAGGCCCTGGGCAGTGCGGGTTGCTCCTCGCAGCTCTGAGGGCACACTCAGGAAGGGCGTTCCGTGCTCCCCAGGCACTGCAGCCACCTCCACTTCCTCCACCCAGCCCTTCGGCTCTCCTTTCACCGTGGCATTTAAAAACAAGAAACCTGAAAAACATCACACTAAGGCCAAGTCTGCAGGAAAGAGGGGTGAAGGGAGATTCCCTGTCACGGTACGCAGCATGGCCGCAGCGGAGGCTGCGTGCACCTGTGCAGAACTGCGACCTCCAAACATGCTGCAGGGCAGCGTTTCTCCCCCACCAGGTGGGCAGCCCTCCCACAGCAGCTCAGCTCTTTTGCTTTTAACCTTTTTAAACTTTTTTTTTTTTTGGTGGGGGGGGAGGGACACAGTGGGTTAGATGTTTTTAGATGCTTTTTAACTGCATTTCCTTTCCAGACACTCACTCGCACCACTGGGAAGAGGGCCGCCCTGAGGCCACAAGCAGCCCAGGGAAGAGGTCTCCGTCTCTAGAGATGGCAATCAGGACCAGGTGGCCAGGCGCGTCTGTCAGCTGGAACGGGACAGACCCCTTCTTCTGAGGCGTGCCGGCGTCTCCCCCTCCTGCCACAGAGCTCTGCGGCCTGCAGGGGAAGGGGCGCTGCCGCCAGCAAAACCACGCGCGGATGCCAAGCGGATGCCCTGCCGAGCCGGCATCACACCAGCTGGCAGCCTGCACCAGTGCCGAGCCATCGCTGGCGACGACACCTCCCTGCACACGGTTTTTGGGTGGTGGGATGCAGTCTGCTTCTCACTAACATTGGCAGAGGAAAGAAAAGAGCACGGCAACATGATTTCCTTCCAGGCAGAGATGTTAAAAAAAATAATAATAAAAAAAAAAATTGCTGTGAATGTGCTGAACACAGTGAAAGTGAAAACAATATTGAGTGTTGACAATGCTGTGTGCATCAAATTTATTTAATCCAGTAGGTAACTAGTTTATCCAGTTGCAACAGGAAAGGTTTTCTCCCAGCTCTCCCAGCTGTGGCTTCTATATCTGGATCGCTCCCTCCTGCTCTCAGCGACAGGCAGAGCCCCCACCCCTGCAGGGTTTGCGGGGTCCTGGCTCCCTGCGGCAGCCTGGTGGAGGCGGGCAGGGCGCACCGCTGCTCGCACGCACGGACTGCTTTCCACTTCCTTTTTTAGATGTTGCCCAGAAAAGATCTGTTAGTCATACCAAAGTGCGTGTTGCTAATGACAACTGTACTGAGAACAATAAACCTTTCTGCAAGTGATCCCCAAATGTAGACTCCTAGCTAACAAAAGAGAAGAGGAAAAAGAAAAAGAGAGAGAGGGGCCATAAGGAGCCAGAAATGCATCTGGGATGGGAGAGGAGCCTGCTGGTTAGCAAGCTAACACGGGATCCGTACTTGTCCTTGCTCCCTGCATAGAATCATAGAAACACAGAATGGCTCAGGCTGGAAGGGATTAAAGCCCCTCTAGATCCAACCCCCTTGGAGTAGTTTGCCAGGGCGATGAAGCAGCGCCTGCTGCCTGCCTTGCTCTCGACACGCCGAGGTGACCAGCCACTGCCTGGCTGCACGCAGCCAGCACAGCTCCCGCTCCAGGGATGAGCTCCAGGGGTACGCCGGGTCTGCACGGCCCCTGCAAGCCGCCCCTCGCTGTGAGCGTGCTGGGGGTGCTGGGCCCTGCTGGGCCATGGGGCAGCAGGAGCAGGTCCCGGCCACAGCCCCTGCCCCCCGCCCCCACAGCGCCGCGCCCCGTGCACGCAGGAGCACAGGTGCAGAAATGCATGCGTGATTTCTACAGAAAGAAAAAAACAACAGAAACCGTGCTTCACCAGACCGATGAAACACACTCGCTGCCTCCCTCGGGCTTTCATCCTTCTTCCCCCACATTTCTGTGTCTTTTTATAACTTCAGTACAAGGCTAAATTCAACATGCTAATTCCCCTCAATGAGAAGTAAGTTCTTGCTCGTTTCTATTAGTTAAACTTGGCTGGAAAAAAAAAAAAATAGGTGAGGGCATGGGGGAATTCAGCAGCTCTGACACCTCAGAAAGCTCTGTACCGGTGTCAGTGAGCACAGTACAGATTTTCATTTCTAGTCCAGAAATTTATTTGCAGAAGACAAATAAACCTCTCTCACAGCCCCATGTGCTCAGGAGTGTTGTCATGCACTGAAACACAGGAGTATTGGAATGGGGGGGGGAAGGGGCTACCTGAGAAACTGCTTAACACATTGGCAAGAAATGCAGGACACAAATCCAGACATGCAGATGAAACTCATGCCATGATTTGGCACCTTGCATGAGTCAGTCTCAAAGAGACAACAAATCTGGGAGTCCCAGAAAGCTCACCAACAATGAGTGACTTTTCACTCATTGAAAAGTCAGTAACCTACATGTGAAATAAGAAATTCATGTCCACATCCACAGGGATGCAGCTGCACCAATGCGGTGCAGCCACCTCTGCTCCATGCAGCACCCTGCCCCTGGGCCGCCCCACTGCCCCGTCCTCACCAGGGCTCCTTTCTCCATTTTTCCTGGCTTTAGAAAGCATTGTTTTGCTGGAAACAGTGAGTGCAAGGGCTTAGATAGAGCATCCTGCTGTGCCAGTGGGTGCCTCATACCTTTCTGGCACTTGCCCTGTCAGCTCAGCCAGCATGCGCCTTCCATACACCCCAAGCAGAAGAAATGACTCTGTTCAGGGTATATTTAAACCAGACAACCATCTTCTCAAAGATGTTTTGTACATTATTTATGTAACAGGAGGTTTTGGAGTGCTAAAAAAAAAAAAAATAATTGTAAATTCAGTGCACTCAGAAGAAAATCTGAAATAAAGATCCACTGCATGCAGGATTGTGAAAGGGTTCTTATAACGGCCCAGGCCCAACCAGCAAAGTGAAGCACACCTTTTTGATGAGATGAGAGGCAATCTGCCAGTCTTAAAACACTGATAAAATGCAGAAAAGCTCCCCAGAGGAAACTGGGGCACCCCGGCAGCTCGGTGGACAGGCAGAGGGGTGAGGCGAGCCGCAGCGTGGCCACGTGCTCAGGGTGTGCAGCACACGCAGGCCTCCAGACCACAAGGTCTGCATGGGGCTGGCTGGAGAGGAGAGGAGAGGAGAGGAGCGCTGCTGTCCTCACGCCGGCCCCAGCTCTTTCTTACAGCTGTTACAGGAACCAGTTGCAGCAGAGAAGTTGCTCAGTCTCTGGTGCTGCGGGCGGTACCTCCCAGGGGAAGGACACCTGGGATCTGCAGAGCCCCACCTATGCCTTGTGGTGGCTCCAGAAGCCCCCACCCCAAATAAACTAAAACCAAAATGAAGCCAGGAATGGAAGAATGGGGTCTTGCTTATTCCCATTAAAAATAGATATTGCTGTGCCTTTGCTTACTGCTGTGCAAATTAACCGAAACAAGGAGCCTTGGGGCCCCTCACAGAGGGTGTTTCCTGACAAAAACGGGGAACCTGTCTCAAAAACCAGCTGAGACCAACCCTGTGATTTGGACAAGAGCCAAGGAGCAGCTGTATGTACGAAGGCAGCGGGTCAGCCAGGGGTGATGAAGAGGAGCTATCGGACTTCATCCCCACGACCCCTGATGACCATCACCACTGCGCAGGTGCAGATGGGAGGAGTTTATGGAAATGACTTCTTGAAGCCAATTTTAATACAAATTGGGGATAGGTTATGCATATGTATTGGCGTATTGGGAAACTTCATGCACATGTAACTCTTTACTGCATGTAACCGAGGCCAGTTGCTGCATTGGGGTGCACATGCATTGGGGACCTATCCCGCATGCGCCCGACACCAAAATAAACCACATACCTGCTTTATAACTCACTTGCTTTGAGTTGTAGAGTTCTTCCACAAATCAAAACCACGTCATGTTTTCACTGTGCTCTAGATGAGATTTCCAGAGGTTTCTGCCAAGGAGATAGTTCAGTTCCTGACCTTGCGATTTCTTGAGATAAACTTTCCCTAAATCTCTGTAAGAGATGCCAGGTTTAACGCCTCTCATCTCTGTGTAAGAAAGGAGGGAGCAGGAGCAGCACATCCACACAATCTGCTCTGCCAGACCTCACCACAGCACCAGAGGCTGGCAGCCATTAAGAGAAAAAACAGTTTTGTGTTTTTTCACTCAGAAAAGAAAACCCCGTGGGTTTATCCAACTGACAGCCACCTCCAGGTCTCCCAAACTGGCTGCTGAACCCAAAGTGCTACACAGGCCAAGGAAGCACGCACACAGCAGAGGGTCACAAAATTCTCAGCCTGGTCCTCCTCTGTTCGTGGCACCCAGCCTCCTGCCCAACGCTTCCCCATCCCGTAACCTCAGCTCCTCAGTCCTCCTTGCTGATGACATTTTTCAGCTTTGTTCTGTGGTGAGCCTCCAGCCTGATGCAATTTCTGTAATTATCTAAGTGCTCCCAGTCTCTGGACAGGGTTTCCTAAATACTGAAAGAGCGATTGGACTTGAGGTCATCCGCAGCCGTAGCAATATCATGTACACGGCCACTGCCTATGTCCGTGCGTTGCTGATGTATACTGAAAACAAAAGCAGCAGCAGGACAGAGCATCACTCTTTCTTCATAGACTCTCTTAGCTCATTCTTGTTTTTTTGCAACTCATCAGCCACCAATTTAATCTATAAAGAAGCTCTTGTGTCACACCTACAAGTTAGCTTCAGAAATGAACAAATAAGAATACCCTTCAGTAAGTGCTGCAGACCAGGAGCTTGGCATGGCCCAAGAAGAGCACAGCCCTGCAGAGAAGCCAGGCACAGGTCGGGCAGGAGGTGGGCTCAGCAGGTCTGCAGCCCAGCCTCGAGGCAGGGCCAGCCTGGGGGCTGCTGGGGTGCCCGGGGCTTCCTGCAGCCCAGCTCTGAAAGCCCTGGGGATGGACACGGCACAGCCTCACAGGGCAGGCCAGGGGCAGCCCAGTGCTCGACTGTCCTAACTGGTGGAAAAAAGTCCTTACATGTGAACAGGCATCAATAATTCAGGAGAAAACAAGAAAACATAAGTAAAGATAAAACTTAAAAAAAGAAAAAAGAAAATCAGGTACCATGGGAAACTTACTGAAAGATTACCAGAAGATGGTTGACACACTGGGTATCAGTCATCAAAAACGCACGTGTGAGATTTTCCACTTCAAACAGAAAGGCAACACAAGCACAGAACCACTCTTCTGGGGACTTCCACCCATCCCACGCGCGCCTAAGTGGTTATTTACATCCTCACACAGGTTTGTTCCAGTCTGGACAGGGTAAGTGTGTATATATACACATGTATATGAAAGGAAGCAGTAGTAGCATGTATAACTACTGATTTCAGTCAATCCTGGTCAGGCGTTTTTCCCTTTTGTTTGTTTCTTGGTTGGGTGTTGTTTTGATGTGTTTTTTGTTTGTTTGCTTGCTTGTTTTGGGGGGATGGGGAGCTTGTGTTTTGTTTTTGTGTTTGTTTTTGTGTGTTTTTTTGTTTTTGTTTTTTTGGGGGGGCGGGAGGGTGGTCAGAAAAGGACTCGGCACACCAGGATGAAGACTAGAATCTCAGAACCTATTAACCTCGATTCTCTAACTTCAAAAGAAACACACACCCCTGGCAAAATTTCTGAAGATACAGGGAAACTTACTGAAACCTTATTAACTATTGCCTTTTTCAGTCATATAACTTCAAGAGAAAATGGTACAAGGTTTGAAAATAAAGCATTTCGACTGTACTATGCCAGAATCTATTCAATTTCCCCTCCCCTCCCAGCAGTTAACTATCAAGAGTACGGCTTTCAGCTGTGAACTCAGTTTTAATCAGAACCAGTTTGTTGATTCATTGGTGAAGATCCTAAGTGTAATTTTATTCCAAGATGCCAAAAAACAACCAAACAACAACAACAAAACACTATCACCTGAACTACATAGTAAAGGATTTCTCTTTGTTTTTTTGTATCTTGCGCTGTGTCATCTTGCAAGGTTTAACAGTACTTCACAAACAAGAGAACAAAAAAAAAAAAAAAAAAAAAGCAGACCTGATAATAAGGCACCTTCTTTTTAATGAAAGTTGAGAACAGATAGCGCCTTCATTAAAATTTTCACAAGGCTGAGAGTCAAGAATGAGTCATGCCGTTGTACATGCTAGGGGAACTTTGATAATAACACCATTTTAGGGAAGTGTTAATAATGCTTGCTGTGGGTATCTCAGAAGAAAGTATTGCTCATTTAAGGACATGAAGAGTCAAGTCACAAGGCGAACTCTTGCAAAACTGATG